TCATCCACTTCAATGTCCATGGATTCTATTATTGTAGTATCCTGGTTTGTTTGGGGCACTTTCCTCCTTTGTTTTTTTCATGTTGTCTATGTGTCTTCCTTTCTTGCAGTGTGAATCTGAGATATTACAGTTTCTACCCTATATTCTTGTAGTATCCATGCAAATTGTCTGTACCTCACCTTGACGTTGGGCTTCCAGACCCTGCTGGTGTCCCTCAATGTATGCTACTGTGACTCAAGGTGGTGGCAGTAATAGCCGAGGTAACTCAAAGTAATAGTGGAGGTGCCCCAAGATGGATACAACATCTTACAGAGATGGGATGAAAGGGTAGGCCTTACACTGCCTTTGAGATGCCTGCTATGAGTTATAGCTGCTTCTAGGCCCTGTGTGTTGTCAAAAGGTAGGGGCTACTGCGTAGGGAAGGCTATGGTGATGTTTGCAGTGTCCCAAGATGGAAGTGGGTTAGGCTTGGGCTACCAGTTGGGGAGGGGGCGGTGGTGGACTTGGACCTGCCCTTGGGCTGGGTCCCACAAGTCGGTGTAGGCTGATCTGTGTAGGCCTGAGCTCTAGTGGGTGTCTGCCGGTGGTGGGATGGACCCAGGCCTACTCTGAGCCTGGGTCCCACGCAGGTCTGTATGGGCAGATCTAGGCCAGGCCTGAGCTCCAGCGGGGGTCTGCTGGTCAGAAGAGGTGGTCCTATGCTGGAGCCTGAGCTCAAGCAGGTGTCTGCCAGTGGTGGGATAGACCCAGGCCTACTCTCTCATCTATCTTTTTTTATCCTTTACTTTTTGTGTCCTTAAAGTGTTTTTCTTGAAGAGTATATTGTTGGGGTTTTTTTTAATCCAATATGACAATCTTTGCTTTGTATTATTTAGTTATTTTACATAAACCAAACTTCAACAAGTTCAGAGGATTAAAACCATACAGCATATATGCTCTGACCACAATAAAATTAAACTAGAAATCAATAAGAAAAAGACAATTAGAAAAAGTCCTAAAATGAAAATCAAACAAGACACTTAAATTTTCCTTTTTTGCAAGTAAAACACTTCTAAACAATCACAGATCAAATAAGAAATAACAATAAAAATTAAACTGAATGATAATAAGGCATAAAATATCCAAACTATTAAATGCTACCAGGTACAACTGCACATGCTCATAATCCCAGCTACTCAGGAAGCTGAGCCCGGAGGATTACAAATTCAAGGCCAGTCTGGGCAACCTAGCAAGACTCCGACTCAAAATAAAAAGGAAAAAGGGCTGGGGGTAGCTCAGTGGTAAAGCACCCCTGTATTCAATCTCTAGTACAGGGGTTAAAAAAAAAAACTAAAGAACATTGCTGAGAGAAATTTTATAAGATCTCAGTAGATAACAAGATAAATTATGCTAATAGACTGGAAGGATTATTTGACTAAAAGTCAATTTTCCCCCACATCAATGTATAAATTCACTACAAACACAATCAAAATCCCAGAAGGTTGGTTGGTTTGTCTTTCTTGAGGGAGTGGGATAACTGAATGACAAAGTTAATAAGGAAATACAAAGACCCTAGACTAGACACGGACATATTATAAAAGAAAACATCTGGAGAACTTAACATTACCAGACTAAACAGACAAATAGACTAAAGAACAGATTTCTGAATGATCATTTTACAAATTATCTTACTTAAGGGGGGAAAAAAGATCCTTAACCTCTTTCTCATATCATACACAAAAATAAATAAACTATATACCAGAATGTGAAAAGTCAAACAATAAAAATTTGAAGGAAAATATCATAGGGGTAGGGAAAGATATTTTAACAAGAAACAAAAAGCACCAACCATTTTTTAAAAATTGATGAAACTGAGTTTCATTGAAATCAAGAACTTGTGTTCGTCAGAAGAAAACATTAACAAACTATAAAGCAAGCCACAAGCTGGGAGAAAATATTTCATTTATGTGTATATATCATATATTATATGATACATAAATATATATATATGAGATACACAAAGACTATCAGAGAATATAAAGAATTCTTAAAAATCAATAAAAGACAACTTAATTTTTTAAGTGAGAAGAGATTCCCAAATCAAATGGTCAATAAATTTATGACAAAGTGCTCAATAACATTAGGGAAATGAAAATTAAAATCTCAATGAAATGCCCATTACTTATCTATTAGAATGTCTAAAAATACCAAGATAATAGGTCAGCTAGAACTCTCATACACTGCTGATAGCATTATAGATTGGTACAACTATTGGAAAACTGGTTTAGTTTTTTTTTTTTTTTTTTGAGGTGGGGGGAGGGTGGTACCAGGGATTGTACCCAGAGATACTTAACCACTGAGCCACATCCCCAGCCATTTTTATTTTTATTTTTTTATTTTGAGACAGGATCTCACTAAGTTGTTGAGGTTGGCTTTGAACTTGGGATCCTCCTGCCTCAGTCTCCTAAGTCACTAGGATTACAGGTATGCACCACCACACCCAGCCTGTTTGGTACTTTCTAATAAAGCCAATATAGAATGTTCTATTATTATATGTCCAACAGAAATGAATGTTTATGCCCACCAAGAGATACATGCAAGAAGGTTCACAGCAGTGTTAAGTCATGAAAATTTAAAAAAAAAAATTTTTTTAATTGCAAACAATTCAAGTGTTTATTGACAGGAGAATGGACAAATTATAGTATCCTTGTACAATGGATTATTACTGAGCAATGAAAATAAACCAGCTATACCACATGCAACAAAGATGACTCTCAACTTTTAGGGACTTAAATGTTGAGTGGGAAAACACACACACACACACACACAAAAGCATATATGTATAAAGTCATTTTTATAAAGTTCAAAATTAGGCAAAACTAGGTTTGAGGTTGTGACAGAGGATACCTTTTGAATGAAATATTTACTAGGACAAGAGTTAGCTGGTTGTATCTTGATCTGGGTAATAGTTATATGGGTACATACATACATAAAAGCTTACCAGCTTTATGCTTATGTTTTACATACTTTATGCAAATACCTCAATAAAAAAGTAACAAAATAATTCATCACCTGTTATTCACTGTTCTTTAAAAAACACCTCACCATTTATCGCTACTCTCTTATTTTCTTGGTACTAGGAATTGAACCCAGGAGTACTTTGCCACTGAGCTACATTCTCATTCCTTTCTATTTTTTATTTTAATACAAGGGTTTTGCTAAGTTGCTTAGGTCTCACTAAGTTGCTGAGGCCTACCTTGAATTTTTAATCCTCCTGACTCAGCCTCCTGAGTCACAGGATTACAGGTGCAAACCACCACACGTGGCTTCTACTACTCTTATTGGTAAGAGTCTAATGACTGTAGAAAATAGACTTTGAGCCATATTTCAAGTCCTCATACATGAGAAAGTTTCCAGCCAGACCCTAGGCCCTTACCCTTTGCCCACCCCTTGGGGTGTCCAGGGATTTGGAGACTCTCCTACCTGCTCCAGCTCTTCCTCTGCATATTTTTGGCGGCTCCGCTCATTCTCAGTACCCTCCCGCAGTTCCTTCAGCCGCTGGGCTTCCTGCTTGGCCAGGTTGATCTCATCGCGTAGCTTCTTCTCCAGATGGACTTTCTCCACCTCCACTGTGCGGTGTTCCTCCTGGGCCTTGTGTAGCCTGAGGAGCAATGTAGGGAGCTGGAGGAGGCCAGGCAAGGGGATGCCAGCCAACATGCCATGAGTCATGGCGGCAAGAAGGAAAATAATAGCACTTGCTCTCTGTATTCATTTTCCCTACTCTGCTAACTGGCTAGCTCTGTCGGCTAGGATACCATAGTCATTACCCTAATTCTTACATTAGCCATCATTTGGCTGCCAGTAATAAAGGTGTGAAGTCTGGTTCCCAGGCATCTGAATCCCTCCTCTAAAGTATCTCACATACTACAATCATAACAACCATCAGTTCACAAGGCATTTCACATTTATTCTCCAGGCAGATAATGACATACTGGTATCATTATCACCTGGGACAGATGTGAATATGAAGGGTTAGGAGAAGAAAAATAACTTACAGGAGGAACTGAAACTAGAATTAAAATTATTGTGCTTTCAAATACCACAGATTTCCCTTATTTTGGGTTATCTGGAAGCTTCAATTAATGTAGAACTTTACAAGCTATACAAAATCCAGGAAAAACCTAATGGTTGAGATATGAATGACATGAAAAAAAGTTCAGGAAGATGACAAAGTAACTATTGAACTGGACCTCTTAAGACTCCTAAGCATCTGATCCCAGAAGCACATAAAAACAAAATTCATGCCAAAGAGGATCAACAGGGTTTGGAGAGCCCCTGCTGCCCCAGGTTCTGAGTTCTCTTCCTAGGTAAGATATCAAGGGTATCAGTCATAAAAATCTACTTTTGTACCCACCCACATATTCCCTCTACTCATTGACAAAACCTTCCATCTAGGAAAGCCTTCCTTCCTCTCTTCTTTCTTCCACATATCTATCCATGTTAATTTGTTCATTCAGCCATTCACCAAGTTCTATCAAGGTGCCTACTAAATGTCTAGCCCTGTACTAAGCCGTAAATATTATGGAGACAAATCACCAAACTGTCTCTCTCACTGAGGTGCTTAGTAACCTAATTCAACAAATACAAGTAAACAGTTAACTGTCTACAGTGTTGTAGGTTCTACAATGAAGAGAACCCAAAGGACAGCATAATCAACTCTGCCAGAGAGGAGTTAGAAAAGGCCCTCAACTAGACCCAGATGAAAGGGTAAGAGCTTACTAATCCCACTGAAAAGGGAAAGGACATATCACCTGTCAGGTCTTCCTATTTTAATAGGAACACAAAGTTATCAGTATACTATGATAGGAGGGTAAAATGATAAAGAAGAAAAATATGAGATAAAGAATTGGGGTATAGAAAACTAAAGGTTGACTAAAGAACAAGACCCATCGAGAAAGGCAATGATCACTGAGAAGAGGCAGAAACAGAACTCAACCTTTGGGGGGTAAAAAAAAAAAAAAAAAAAACCCTAGTCCAGAGTTGTCAGTGGCTGAGGACTCCAAAGATGTGGTGGAATAAGCAAGGAAGAAATATTAACTACAAGGTTCTGCTAACAATTGTAGTCCACTGCCTAATTTGTTCCTGGAGAGAAAAAGGAATTGAACCTCCTCAAGGTGTACAACAGATGGTGCTACAAGCACAGTTAAAAAAAAAAAATCAGAGGCGCCATTTCCTGCCCCCATCTCCTTCCCGTGCTGAATATCCTCCTTTATTGTACTCTTCTTCCTTTACTGTACTCTCCTGTAACCCAATTGTAAGAAATTATACCATTAGGAATTTGATTCTTCACTGAAATACTGTCCTTTCTAAAAGATATCTCCTTAGAAAAGCCAATACCACGGTATGTCTACCCTCTTTCTGTAATAAGGACCTCCTTCAAAGTAGAACTGAGCCTAGTCCATTTTCAAATTCCCAACAGGGTCTAGCAAAGATGGATATTGATAAATATAGTTGGGTTCCCAAATGAACAAATAAAAGCACTACCCCCACCCCAAGGCAACAATGAATTAGCATTACAAAGAAGAAAATTAGGCAGCCAGATAGCATGATTGTGAGTCCTAACTCCAATCTCAACCAGTTTTCCCCCCTTTCTTCACAGCAAAATAAGAATCAAAATCTCTGCCTGTCTCAAAGAATTATTTTGAAACCCAGTGAAATCCTAAATGGAATGTACAAATAAATGTCAAATTACATTTATTTACTCAAAATATCAGGAATTCTGTAATTAAAGTTCTGTAGTGGCTGGCAATGGAGATATATTAATGTCAAGGTGGCATGTGGGCTGTTGACACTGTTAGGAGGGTATGCAAGTATGTATGTCCAAGTCCAGTGGGGAATAGGGCCTGTCTCTAAGTGCTGCAGTGGTCATTAAGCTCAGGAGGCCTTAGGGAGCAGGGAAGGCTGGAAGCTTAGTTTTATCCCCAAACTTGGAATGTCTCCTGCCTAGATTCTTTTGTCTTTGGAATGAAAACAGTACATGTTTTTCAGACAAATGAACTATGGGATTCCTCAGACAGCAGCACTTAGTCCCTACCGGGCAAAGGGCTGAGGAACAAGGGCCCAGCAGAATAGCCAGGATTCAGCTAAGAGATCAGAACCCCTTACTCCCTCAAAGCCCATTCCATGGAAATGAGTCTGGTAAGCCTGCTGCCTCAAGTAAGGCTACCTCCCCTGAGTCCCATATCATATCCTCATTGCCCTTTCCTATGTGTGAGTTTTATTGCCCCCAAAGCAGTGAATTCCTGGTTCCTAGATGTCAAAAAGTTCAAGAATTGACTGACTGATGACTGATACTCTCTCTTTTTATAACTAAATCTTCGGCCACCATTTTAAAATCATGTTTCATTTTGACAGCATCCCAGATTATCACAGCTAAAAGTATTCTCCTAGAAGAGTATGATGCTCTCCACAGAGGGTAAGATCTCAAGGGTATCAGTCATAAAAATCTACTTTTGTACACACCCACACATTCCCTCTACTCATTGACAAAATCTTCCATCTAGGAAAGCCTTCCTTCCTCTCTTCTTTCCTCCACATATCTATCCATGTTAATTTGTTCATTCAGCCATTCACCAAGTTCTATCAAGGTGCCTACTAAATGTCTAGCCCTGTACTAAGTCGTAAATATTATGGAGACAAATCACCAAGCCCTTCACACTACTAATGAGGAAATAAGTGCAGGAAGGGAAAGGATTTACCCAAAGTCATACAAGTCAATACTTAGAAGACTAAGGCTCCATTCAAGAGATAACAAAGGTCAGTAGGAAAAAAGGTTTATGAGGTTTCTTTGAAGAACAGTGAATTATATCTATATATATGGGAACGGAAGCAGTCTAGAGGCAGGACAGAAGACAGAATGACCCTTACTTAACAAGCCATCTAACAGGGGAGTTCAAAACTTATGAGAACTAAACATTTCTGAAGCTCAGAGGGAGGAAAGACAGAAACCAGCTTCCCCCCAGGAGGAATAACTACCCAAGGCAACTGGAATAGCAGAAGCTAGGCTTACAATGCATTTCTGGAATGGTGAGACAGCCCGGACAGTGATGACAGCCTAGTCTCAAGGGTACAACCCAGGTGGAAACAGGTAGCTCCCAAGAGCTAGCAGCACCAGGCTTGTAAGGAAGGGGCAAGGCCTTACCTTTCCTGAAGGTCATGCAAACTCTGCTCAGCTCTGTGTAAACCCTCCAAATCCTTCATCATCTTCTTCATGTGCTCCTTGGAGTAACGGTTCTGGATATAGGCAAACCAGCAGCCGCCCACACCAATAACAATAGATACCACCAGCATGAAGTCCTTGAGGTGATTGTGGCGGGTCACTGCCAGAGAGGAGAGGGCATGATGAGTGAGGGTGCCCACTGCACACTTAGCATTGCAGACTCACTGCATCCCCTACTTGATGATGCCTCCCCCTGGCAGTCACACATTTCTCTCGGGAAGAATTAGTTTATCAGACACATACTTGCCATATGCTACTACAGTAAGCTCTGTGCTTATTTCTCTGCTAGTCAGGGACTAGTTTGGAAAGGTTGAGAAGCCTAAGAGTAAGGTTTATTAATTCATATTTCCCTAAGATACAGTGAAGAAGAAAGAATCATGCCAATGTATCCCAGCCATCTCTGGGCTAGGATGAGCCCATGTGCCCAGATGCACTGGCTTCCATCCTACAGGGTAAGCAATGTAAAGGCAAAAGGAGATGGCTAGGATAAACAGAATAAAGCCATGGCACTGGAGCCTGAGGTCTAGCTACAGGACTAAGGTTACTGCAGAAGTTGGGTTTCCCGGACTAGTAGGCCATTTTAGCACAACATCCAAAGCACAGATCAAGTAAAGGTCTTGAATTCTCAATCTACAGAGAGCATTTCTAGGCTGTAGCTCAATCCAAAGATCAGACAGAAGAGGAGTAGCATCAAGAGATTGGCGTATGAGAGACATTACACATGCCCAGAACTGAGAAGCAGATCTACCTCCAGAGAATGCCTGGCAATAATTTAGTGAATGCCTGGCAATAATTCAGCCATCAGGTAGGATTAAGCAATGCCCAGTTTCCAGAGAAAATTTAAATGCTAAATAAGGAAAAATAAAATAGAAAATAACAAAAACCACCTTCCCAAGAACTTAGTGAACAGGATAGGAGCATTTCTGGAGCCTGACATTGTTCCTAGTACGCCAGATCTGGGCTCTGGGCCATAGCACAGGAGACTTGAAAAGGATATCATAAGGAGAAGAGGACTGCTGCAGTGGCCTATCTGGGATGTACTGTGGATTCAGAGGAGCCATAAATAAAGGAATCAGAAAATGAAGGAAAAAGAAGTTAAACCAAGGTTAAAGACCGCCTCTGTGCATAAAAGGTTGTCCTCAGGTAGGGGAGAAGATAGAATTAGCAGGATACCAATGCCTGGTAAAGACCCAGGTACAGCCACCAAATTGAGGGAGGGTCTAGCTACATGAAAAGACACATGTAGCTGGAAATGACATGAAGCTGAGGCTCACAGTTTGACAAGAAGGGTTACAGTCATAGCTCTCACTGAAAAGCTGAGCAGCAGAATATAGGGATGGCATGGGATCAAAGACAAATTAGCACATGCTATTTCCACGCAAGGAAGGGGAGGTTCAGGGTGGCAGCCATATCTTATACATATTTATGCAGGTCCCTCAGAGAGAAAACTGAAGGCCCTCCAGTGGCCATCCTCTATCCTCCATGTGGACTTGCATTT